GGGAACCATCATGGATCATTCGTGGTGTACGGCACCGGCGCTTACAAATCACCTTACACCTAATGCCTTTCCCATCATAAACCCCTTCTCGTCCATCTTATACATATTGGAGGCTTGTCTATTATAGAATTTTACTAAAGAATTGAACTAAATTTATATTAACTATATACATGATTACAACAGTATGCTGATTATAAATAAAAAATTCTAAAACAGGCAGTGAAACTTAAATACCTTCTTGAAAAAATCGCCCATAATATCAGGATTGCTTGCTAATGCACGCTGGCGGTCTAGGCTGTTGAAAAGCACCGGGACTCATGCTATTCTGTATGGGGAGGGTAGCTTATGGGTTTCACACTAGCAGAGATTTTCCCTGCTAGTAGTTCTAGTTTGTTGTATCTGATGTTTCGGGCTGTAACAGAAAGAAGGGAGCAAAAGAGGATACGATACGGGCCAGTAGTATTCGGGAGTCTTCAGTCATCCTCGGTAAATTGGCTGGCCATTGGGAGGACGCATGGAAATAGGCTGGACCTCGGTGAAGGATGGACCTTGGGGATGGATGGACTATGGTAGGGGGATAGTTCCTCTCAGAAAGATCTCGTCTATGAAAGGGAAGCTGGATTGGTCTATATAAAGCCCCTATTGTCCATAGATAGAAAAAGTAAGGCAAGGCAATCTATCAATCGTGTTCACTTCCACTTACTTTATTCTCTCCTACTAGTACATCCCCTGCACCTCATAACAAAATAGGCGGGTACCGAACCGTGATGCTAAAGCTGGATGACGGTTGAGAAATCTTGTCAACCAGTTTTTGCCTAAAGTTTGCTCCTTGACTCTTCGTTGTAGTAGTCCTTGTGCCATTGACTTCACCATTGCTAATCTTGGTGGGTAGGCCCATTCATCCAATCTTTCACACCACTGAACAATCGCCTTCTCCACATACTCTGTTAAGACCTGTAACTTAACGTGGCCCTGCACCCGGGTTTCTGTTCCTGCAAGTCGATTTTGGAGGGTTGAGAAAGGAACTGCAAACTTCTCAGCAGTTGCACGAATAGATGGTTTCTCCGAGTGTTTATAGTGCTTAATCGCGTCTTGGAGGTTGGCTTCTACTCTATCGCGCTTCCTCTCCTTTATGAGCGGCATCGTGATGTATTGATTGTATTAATTTTCTCTAATCGCAGCCTCACTACTCCGCTTTACAATAAGTGGGGTTACATCTTGGTGCTATCTTGGCAATGATCGGAATCCCTGTGCCGAGTGGTTTCACTGTAAATTACGTTACCCACAATTCACATACTATGTCCGCGCTTGCGGACACCCTTAATTGATACTGTACGGATCTATCAGCTGCCTCTTGGCCGACTGTATGGGTAGAGGTCCTGTAGTGCCATAGCTCTCGGACGTAGGGTCGTTACACCGGTTCTTGCGTCAAGCACGGCTTTCTTCTCCTATCCTTCGCCATCAACGTACTATTGTTAGAAAATACACCGATGAATTCGGTCCCGCTGGCACTGAAGACAACGACAAATCCAACAACAACGATGCTGCCTCCAATAGTTCCCATCCAAGGGGGAAACATGATAGTAGTGAGTCTCATTACATTGTACGCCTCTCTGCCTCAAACTGATTGTACAATTTTCAGCTAACAAACAATGGTATAAGGGGACCGTATTAATGGGCTGGACGAAAGAATCCAGGGTGTAATAAAGGTATGAATTTCATTCAAGTTTACCAATACCTAGCAACAATTAACCAAGGCAATGATGGCAGGATCACAGCGATTTTAAGGTCGATGTGACCAAGGCTATTGCGGATCTCGGAAGTAGAATGGAGTCTAAGATGGCCCCGGGGTTTGCGGACGTTCACAGGGAATTCGCCGCGGTTAGATCCAGTCAGGAAGTGACAAAGTGGCAAGTCCACTTTCTCTTTGCTGCAGCGTCAACTGTTCGTATCTCATTCAGCTACTCTATCGGGTTAATCTAATTGGTATAGTTGGTGATATGGTCTCTGAAGGATTATATCTATCTCCGGGTTCAGGCCTTCACCGCAGCCGAAGAAGGAACCCCCCCTCCACAACAGAAGGCCCCTGACAACCGTGGACAAAAGAGGTAAGCGTACTATTGGTAGTTGTGTTCTGGCTTGTATTTAATATCCTAATACAAACACATGGCCTAATTATTGCGAGCGGGAAGAGACTTCAAAACTTCTTTTTTTGTGAATCGTATTCCCTACTTTCTGTCTTGATGGATTGGGCTGTTTTTCCCGTGAGGTTGGCCCTGGCGTGCCAGATCATTGGGACCTAACACCACTCTTGTACCCTGCTTTTTGTCGACTTGGCCGAGCGGTATTCACAAGAGTGGATATGTATTCCCCTCCCCTCCGTGCTTTCTCACTCCCTCTCCCGCAGTCCAGCTGGAAGTGCGCCTTCCCGAAATTCACAACCGAACACAATTCATATCTCATAACCGCCTAAATTCTCTATAACCTTCACTGCCTCCTCCGCCTCGAGGTCCTCGGCCGTCCCCATTTCGCTAGTTCTCTCGCTCATATCCCTTCCCAACTTCTCTGTACAACAACATTTCAGTGAAAATATTAGAGGCAGTTCGTTATTATCCGTGGAGACTTACTTCCTGACTAGACCCCTTCTACCTCCACTATTCCACTTCCTCCATATCCGCACCTCCGGAATCTCCCCGCCATTCCCGAAGCCCACAAAATTTGACTACTCGCAAATCCCACATGCAGCGGTGCGTAACCCTGCAGGGAAAGTGGCTGCAAAAGCAGTGAAACTGTGGAAGTCGAGCACGAAAAATTATGAAAAGGTAGCGAAAGACCAAGTGAAGAGACTGAGGAGAAGAAACGCGGGAAGGTAAAAAAGGAAAAAAGGAAATCTGCCGCTGCGCGACTGCGAGGTGGAGGCACTACAGCTAGAGAAGGAAAAAAGGGAATGGGAAGAGCGACAGTCAGTGGGTGCTCCAGAACCACCTTCTGACGGCTGGCAGGGTTTCCTGCCGTCTCCCTCCGGCTCTCCATTACCACCCCCCTCGGCAACACAGCTCAGCCCGGACGGTTGAAACCCCGCAATGGAAAAAGCACGAGAAAAAGTTCTGCCTGACCCCGTGCACACTGGACACCTGCTGGATTATGGTTGAAATGATAGGGGTGGACTGTTCTTTTCGGGGGCATGTATGAGAGGCTAGTTGGAGATGTGGCTGGGAGGATTGAGGGGTGGATGGAGCAGGAGGGTACCGGGCAGTTATTGGGGGAGGAGGGAGGTGTGATGGGGAAGCAGTTATAAACGTGGTGGTGGCTCAGAAGGGGTTAGGGGGGGGCGTGTGAGAGTGCTCCCATATAAATTGTCTTGGCTATGGAATTTCTTCCAAAACCCCACTGTAATAAACCAAAAATCCTGAACTCTTGGCATTCCTTATAGGCGGGGTGCGACAGTGATGCCACTTGATCTTCTTCTGTACCAACCACTCCCGTTTCTTAGAACCTTGAAAGCCACCCCAGATCTACGAGCAACTCCAGCAAAGCATGGCCACCAAGCGGGACAAGCAAGCTCAAGCCATTTTCTACCCAACACCCTCCGAGTCCACCCCCGGGACCACACCCCGAGCCATCTCGCAAGATCCCCCGCGAGCACCATCGCCGAGTGCCCCAATCGACATGCAGTATTATCTAACTGAGGGCCTGAAGGAGGCGGAACACAGGAAATACATTGATAACCATTCCTTTGCAGGAGCGGTAAAGTCCCAGACCAGGGCAGCTGAGGCCGGTAATGGTGTGAAGTACGTGGTGTTTACCTCCGTAACCGCGGAACAGCTTACGACGATCGACAAACTTCGCAATGACCGCTACAAGTCCCTCCGCTTCATGTACCTCGAGCACCAGCAGACCTTGATTGTGAAAATTATGGCGAGCAAACTTCACGAAGCCGCACACAGGTGGTTTGAATCCACGTTTATAAACAAGGTCCGATCGATGGGATTGTATCGTGATCTAGGTCCAAATGGTGGTGCCCGGCACCAAGGCAATGGCAGTAAGAAAGAGCCCGATTCCTGCTATATTCCCCGTTCCCGTGTGCTGGCAGGGGGAGCCGGCTGGCCAACCCTGGCTGTGGAGTGCGGAGTTTCGGAAACGCTCGAACGCTTAAGGCAGGATGCTCATTGGTGGATAATGAACTCGTCGGGTGCCGTCAATATCGTTCTCCTGTTCTCTCTGAAGAAAGACGACCGTATAATCCATATTGAACAATGGGAGTCTGGCAGTGCAGTCCACCGGCGTTTCGAACGACTGAATCCTCTGAATCCTCCCTCTCCTTCGATCGAACCTAAATGTGTCAAGATTATTAGGATACCCCAACCCGATGATAACCAACACTCCCTAATACTCGACTTCGAGAAAGTTTTTGATCGGGAGCCACACCAAGCCGAAGACAGCCTCGAGAGCAATTTCGAATTTACACCAGCCGATCTTTCCCAATTGGCTGCCGATATATGGTTCTATGGTAGCTAGAGCGATGATCCATACAATGTAAATCCACCTTTTATTACTATTGCTTAGCAGCAGGCACTGACATGGAAATGATAGAGATGGAAAGGCACCTCTTTTGGAAGGGGATTGGGCCGGCTGGAGGGGGGAGGAAGGGGGTACTTGTGGTATCCGGGTTTGGTTTCGTGGTTTTTAAACATCTATTATTATTATGATATGGAAACTTTGATCAGGAATTGCGCGCTTCAATATCCACCAATATGTGACACTGTGTTAGACATTGGCCCATTTCAGTTGCCCCGTCCTACCGGCTTACAAGTTACCATTACCCAACAGGATACAGCATAACCTTATAAGCAAAATATGCAAGGTGTTTTACGAGACTCAAGGTTTACATCTCAAGGTTACTCCCTGATAGCCCAATGGATGGGCGATTCCGATGGGGGCGGAGGTAGGGGAAAAACGAAAGGAGGTGGAATAGGCTCCAGGAAGGGGGGACTATTACCATGTGGAGGACAAACATGAGTTTACCGGCTGCTGCGGAGGAAGAACGTATATACTTCCCCCTACATTCTAGGGGTGGCTCTGACTTTTCCGATAGGGAGGGTTCTGAGTGCTAGGTATAGTGTTCCCTCCCTCCTGCCCTCGATATCGATTACCCTGTCAGGTAGCGTCCCTGGAGCAACATCTCCCAGAAAAAATAGACCATCCGGTGTGCATCCTTCTACAGATTTCAACCTACCGTCGCATAACTCTATGCCAATGCCCTCAGACACTGAAGCAGACGCCTGCGATATACATCGTGCTCAACGAATCGAGATAACCTTCTTTCCTATCACTTCTCACCGGAGACTCAACGTGCCGTTAGGACAATTCTGGGTGGGGAATATGAGTTGATAGTCAATTAGGCACAGGAAGGTAATCAGCGGATGCGAAAGTATTTTGTTGCTACGGATTTGAGTAGGGAGGCCCAGCATGCCCTGGGTTGGGCAATCGGGATGGTTCTCAGAGACGCCGATGCTCTGATGGGCACATATGCCTTCAGTAAGGATACGGTAGAAGATGGCGGCAAGATTGTTCCGATGACAGGATAGCCGGAGAATTGAGCAGCCAGGCTGCCTCCATGGGGACCAGCCTTGCAACTATGAACATATGATACCTCGTACATCTGGAACAGCGTCTCCTTCATCCAACATTGGGAATATTTCCAAGAGGGATAGGGAGCGCACGGAGGCTGAGGGGGGGCGGTGCCTTGCGGCAGAGGCGATCTCTAGGCTGGTGGGAAAGTTTTAGGGGAGACGAGGCTGCAGGTCGGGATCGCTGTCGGGGTGATTCACTGGGGGAGTCTGAAGCGCCTTCTCACTGGAATGCCAAGTTTGTAATTTATTTCTCGATATACGATTGTCTGACTAATATGATTTAGATCGAATTTATCGAACCTACACTTGGGGTCCTTGGTTCCCGTGGTATCATAGTGGTGAACTAGAGTTATGGATGCCCTGAATTACGCTCTGTTAGTATTACATTATAAACTAACTCATCACCTAGTGTCCTCCTGGGATCCTTCACCAATTACCTGGTCACTAAATCCTCGGCCCCTGTCATGGTTTCCTGGAAAAAACTTAAGCATGCTAAAATGTTTGCTAAACCAATGTCCGGCAGCCCATTAATCTCACGACAAGCGCTCAAGCAGGCCGCCGGTGCAGGGGTGGACTACCGGTAACTACTATGCCAACTCGTGAAAGGGTTAGTGCCAGTGGTGGGAGGTCTGAGCTTGGGGAAATGGCCTGTTCTCAATGGATTTAATTTTCTTTCTCTTTCTTCCCCTTTTTTTCACGTCAATTATCATCATCACCAGAATAGAGGATAATTAGTCACAGGCTCTCACTCGTGTAAATAAATTATGATATTTACTGTATTAATGACTAAGCTCACTCTCTCTTGTTGTTCCTTCATTCGGTTAAAGGGTTCCCCAGCCGTATAGATCAATGGGCAGCCGATTGGAGCCAATGACATAGATGGCGTTGTGAACGAAGAAGGAAAAAAAGGATTAAGAAGTGAGAAAAAGAGAATGAGTTCGGCCGGGCTCGAACCGGGTACCAGCGGTGTGACAGACTAATGTAATACCAACTACACCACAAAACTGCATCGTGCAAGTTCGTTTCTTATCGTGCAGGTATGCAAGTGGAGGTGAACCGACTGTGTAAGCTATTATGGTCTGTGCTGGGGGGTATCATAAGCTACTGGTGGCTAATGGTCGTGTGTCTCAGTTTCTACTCAAGAATTACCTTGTCCTAGCCGAGGCTTGTTTGTGTTTGCTTTTTTCTACTGGCTCCGTCCATCTTATCCTCAACTCTTGCGACTGTGCAAACATTCCATTCTTCACCTGTGGCCTAAAGACTCCATTTTCCATCAGAGCATGTCCTCCTTTATCCCCTATTTCCAGTTAGAATGAACATTGACAGCCTAAGATAGCCAATTGAACATGCCGCGCATGGACTACAGACAGTGGCACGATACTTTCATATACGATTCCAAAAATCGTGCTGTGAGACTCGGAGGCCTGTGGGCTGGAGAAAGCTTTACAAACGCTAATCTCTATTCCATGCTGGAGGTTTTGTGTCTTTTTAGTGATACCTTCGATGTCTACGATGGTAGCCAAAGGTTAGTGGATAGGAATGAGGAACAGCTTCAACCAGGAGATTATTATATTGTCACTGGTGGTAGGTTGTTCTGTTCTTCCATCATTGACAGCTACTGACTCCGAATAGGTTCCATCACAGTCAACAACGAAACCCCACTAATTCGGATGTATTCTTTGGGGACCGGACCCCATATTGAAGCATTCCGTATAGCTGTGTGAGAGCGAGATGGCGGTTGGGTTATAACTGGCATGCGAGCACAGCTAGCTCAGTTTGGCAACTGGACGGGCTTCGAAGCCGCTCACATCTTTCCTTTGGCACACGAGAAGTCCTGGAATGATCATAACTACAGTCATTGGATTACCATTCCGCCTGCCATGGAGTCCCACGGGTTGATAAACTCTGTGCAGAATGGGATCATGCTCTTATGCCATCTACATAAGTTTTTTGATTCTTATAAGTAGGCGATAAACCCCGATGTATGAATGGCTAGATGTTCAAGTCGACGGAGCTAATAAATGTATAGGATAATTACAAGATTGTGTGCTTTACACCAGGTACCCTCGACTGTCACCTCGGTTAGTTATTTTCTTGATCAGATGTTCATCGATAATCCCCTTCGACCTGTTGATCAGCTGCTACGCTAGCACTTTCGCCAGGCAGTATTGATTAATATGAAGGGGGCTGGAGAGCCTTCTTTTAAAACTGATTTCCTGCCTGGCCCAGACATGATGGGTGGGATCGTGAGCAATAAAAAAGCTGGAGCAAGGAAGGAGCTTGGGTTCTTTGGCAGTTTTAATACAATAGGGGGTCACGCCTAAGGCGAATGAATGCTCAAAAGTGATATGTGGCTACAACGCGACCGCATTTTATATACTGGTAGTAATGGGGTTTTGCACCGAGGATAGATAGGAAAAACCATGCGAGAGCTGAGGCTTTATGCTAAACAATACCAGAAACTGGACCTTCTTCAATTATTTCATGGTTTTTGTCTCCGGTGAACGGGATGGATTATAGGGTGGGTTGTCTGGAGACTTTGAACCCAAAGAACAGACTCATAGAGAGGTGACACTGACAAGATCTGATATCGTAATGCACGAACCAGATTCTTGGCCTAATATGGTAACTTATACCGCAAAAATCCAGTAAATCTACTATCTGGAATATCGGAGGAGATTGCTCTCTAAACCAGAATAGGCTTAGCAGAGCAGGTACACAACATAGTGAATACTAGTAAATGGGATCTAGCACGCTCAGGCTCCCCAAGCTACTCGTAATGTCGTAGCGTTTGTGAACACGACCGGGCTTGCATTAGAGTGCATTAGGGTGCATCTGAGAAGGTGGCCAATTAAAAAGAAGTAGGTTTGGATTACTAAGTAAATCAATTGATGACATCTTCATAGAATAGAAGTACTTAACAACAACATATCTTTGTATCTGTTGACATGATATGGGACAAAATGTGTACCCCACGAGGACCTACAACTTCTATTAGCAAACGAGGTCAGATTTTGGGCTATGCGATACTAGATGGCCCACAGAAAATGACCCTACGACAAATATCGGAGAAGACAGATGTCTTGACAAGTACCTACTCGAATATCATTCGTACTGCACAACAGCGAGCGAATGAATATGGTATCAAAGACCTTTGTCCAATGGAAAATCTTGTACCTTTACCGACATCAGTAAATGGTTCAAATGAAGCACTTACCAGTGCTGAAAAAACTCACCTTGTTGAAACCACGGTGAATGATACTGAGCATTGTTGGATGACATTTGCCCAACTTGCTGAAGCTGGTAATTTTTTTTTTTTCTATATTCAAATATTCATATGTACATATAACTAAAATATAATTTAATAAAACAGCCAACTTGGATATCAGTAAACAGACTGTTTCTAAGGTTTCATGAGAGAATAAAATTTTCCGCCATAAGCCAACAACAAAGCCAACTCTAAATGAGAGGCAAAAAGCAGTCAGATGTAATGGACAAGGACTGAGAGTCGGGTAGCCCAAGGCACATCACGACAGGGGCAGACTAGAGTTCGGAGGCGAGGCCTAGAGACAGGTGTACAACCGAAGCGAGTTGCATGAGATTCGGGGTTCAGGAGTTCACGGTCAGGGTTCAGGGGTTCATGGAGGACGCGAAGTAGAAGAGAGTGTAATTCCTAGGTACAGGTGTCCAAAGGAGATTACCTGATTGCGTGAAGAACATAAAATATAATGGGGCACACCCCCTTATATAGAAAGAAATCCTCCCTTGATCACTAATACAAAAGAAACCCCTTGGTGTCGCGCACAGCCGCGATGTCTCTACCATGTTCCGCCAAGTTCCGCCACGCGGCCACATGTCCTAATCAAGTACCAAAGGAAATCCTGCGCATAGCAACCGAAAATCCCAACCAATAAACGTAACCAAAACCGCCATGTATATCCCGTCTCCATATTGGGGTGACCGTGACACTAGCCCCGCTCTCTGACACCGAAGTCTCTTGAGGCGAGGTACCACGCCTTCGCAGGTCATTGTCCATGGATACTGAAAGGGTAACGATTGCGAAGGTGCGTTATTCCGGTGAGGGACCGGGCTTGTGCTGGTAACGTTCATGGAACTGGTCAAGAGCTCGGAGCCTGTTGACAGACTCGGCTGGTTCCCAGGTAGCCTCCACATATCCTTTCCAACGGATAAGGTATCGTAGACGGTTACGGACAAACTTGGCATCCAGGACCTCCTCCACTTGCCATTCCTGTTCCTCATCTACCTCCACAGGCGGCGGCGGAGGTATTTCCTGGCCGGGGAGCGGATTGTGTGAAGCGAGGTCCAAAAGGGAAACATGGAACACATTATGAACCTTCATGGTAGAGGGGAGATCCAAACGGTAGGCATGGGTACCAATCTGGGCCAGGACAGGGTAAGGCCCTAAACGTTTGTCGTCGAGCTTCACGGAGGGTCGTTTGGTCCTGATATTCTTCGCATTCAGCCAAACACGGTCCCCGACCTGGAAGTGGGGGGCTGGGAGCCTCCCCTTGTGTGCGTATTCCTGTTGGCGATCTTGGGTGAAAGCTTTCTCGGTTCGTAGATGATCATGGATGTCCTTAATGCGAGTTACAAACCTCGCAGCGGTTGGCTCGTCAGTGGCTTTATCCAGGGTGTCCAAGAAGTCCATGCGGGGTCATAGCCATGGTTGGCGAAGAAAGGGGATACGCCGCTGGACTACGAGGCATGATTGTTGGTGGCGAACTCGGCTATGGGGAGCCAGAGGGACCAGTCGTCCTGCTGATAGTTGACGAAGGCTCTCAAGTACTGCTCCATGATGGCGTTGACCCGTTCAGTCTGACCGTCAGTTTGGGGGTGGAAGGCTGTTGATATCTTCCTCTCCAGTTGTAGCCTTTCACAAACGGTTCTCCAGAAGTCCGCCCTGAACTGGGTTCCTCGGTCGGAGGTTACTGTCT